CTAAAGTGGAGGAACAAATGGCTATGAATAGAGCCGCAAAAGCTACTATCGAAACAGATTGGAATGATAAAGTTGTTAGCTTAAAATTAGATAAAGAGAATTTTAACTGGTCGTTAAATTCTAATTTGATATTATATCACCCGGCCGTCGTGAGGTGGCCTGAGAATGCTTGCACATTGGAGTACTGGAAGCATTATTGTGCTGAGAGTATCAGGAACTGTGAAGAGGTGAGGAAGAAATCTGAAAATTTACGCGATGATTTAATGACAGCTATTGTCAAAGGCAGTGAGGACATGAAGCTTCAAGCGGATAGAACCAATGCAGCGTTCGTAGAAACTATAGCCGCTACGGAAGGTATGTGTGAACACTTGGAACAAAACCTGAAGAACAACCTGCAAACTATAGCAGATTTGGAGACTTTGATTGCGAATTTAGTAGCGACATTGAGTAATATGAATGATAGGAACAAACTGGCGACCTCGCGACTGCAGTCGAGGAATTATGAGAGATCAAACGTTGAGAATTGCAGGGATAATGCGCAGTACGCATTGATGGCGGAGGCAAAGTACGTAAAAGAAGCGTCACAAGAGTTTAGTAATAAACTGAGAGAGGCGGAGTCTGTGCGAGCTGATCTTATGATATACCGAGGGATTTTGGAGAAGGAGATCGCGTGCAAGAGGAAGAGCTTATATATAGACAAGGACAGATGCAGTAGGATCCGCGCACACATGCCGACACCTGAAGAATTTGCCGCGGGATAAAATTTAATAGTCATTTTGTTTTTAAAAACGAATTATACTTTTGTATGCCAAAATCTATGTTATTATTCTAATGAATTTGTAGCTTGATTCCAAAAAGATTAAATGCGGTATTTCTATCCTAGAGATCGATTCGAAAATAAAACAAAACAAGATTGTGCAATCGTAATAATGATCGGATAAAGAAACAAATGGATATACGAATAGCGATGGCTGAAACTAAATTAGATATCTTTTAAAATCTCAAAGTAAATGTAACAATGTTAGCTAACATTACGAAAACGATCGACAAATAAAAAAGTACCTGGTGATTCGAGTTGCAACACATTCCCACTGATGACCCAATACGTGATAAAGTTTTACTAAACAATGCTGATGAGATTGTGCTGAGAAAATATCTTACCTAATACATGCTTTTGACTTCTGAGTAACAGTTCTCAATCTAATTTAATTTAAAATAGGTGTAATTCAACATGCAATTATGCATTTGCAATAACACAAATTACTGTCTTAAAACTGATAAGTTCTAAGTATGATTTTTAGCTATAATCATTCTAATGTTATAAATGCGAAAGTTTAGATGGATGGATGTTTGTTTCAATTTGTAGCCTAAACTGATGAACGGATCTCGATGATATTCGGCATAGATGTAGAGGACAGTCTAGAACAAGACAGACGACTTACTTTTGTTTCTTAATACCACACGGACGGAGTCGCGGCTAAAGCCAGTTTGGATAGACATTGCAACATTTTTTAATTCCCTGTGTAATTAAAAATTCAGGATGTATTGAGTAATTCGCAGGAAGGTAATTGTTATCTGCATCCCGTTTTACTACTCAAAGAGCGTACAAGTGAAAAAAAAATGTTGAAAAATAATACTTCCTATCAAACAGTGTCGTTTTCAATAACTATAACTTAATACTTCATACTGTAATATCATAAACAAGCTATTGCTAAAATAAAATGTTTAATAATATCAGGTGGCAAACGAGCAAGCGGCCACCTGAATCCACCGAAATGAAAAGCGATTGCTGCCCATAAATATCCACAATTGCTGATGCGTTAATTGACGGAGGAGACGCACATAAAGAGGACATTATCCCTTCCTATGCGTTTACTCCGTCATCAAATCCACTTTTCCTTCCCATTCTTTCCTCTTGCGAAAAGGGTGGAAAGGTAAAGGGACTAAAATAAGGTCTCCGATACACTCAACAGACGAAATGCGGAATGGCTTCCACTTCACGCCTGTTTTCTGTGTGGCCGTGGTATTACACCGGGCTAGCCGGCCCTACAGTGCGAAGATGTTAAAGCGGTCTCTACAACTGTTAGCTAGCGACTCCGTCTGCGCGGAATTCAGAAAAAATTTATGTAGTACAAAAATATTCACATTTAAATTATCACAGATTAACTGATAAAATAATTTATATGTACTCTTATTGTACGTGCCTCTAACTTGATACGTGAAATAATAACTATCACATCACGTGCTATCACTATCACGTTGTGATGTGATATCACGTGACCTATCATTGTCACGTTGGAGCGTGCTCGCATAATTGAATTATTGCTTCAGTACCTAACTATAACATGAAGGATTACTTACAGTATGAATTGAAATAACTTAGTCAAATATGACTACATCTTACTAATATTATAAATGCGAAAGTTTAGATAGATATTTGTTAGAGTTTGTAGCCTAAACTACTGAACGGATCTCGATGAATTTTGGGCATAGATGTAGAGGATAGTCTGGAAGAACACATAGGATACTTACTTTTGAATTTTTAATTCCAAGCGGGGCGGGGTCGCGGCCAAAACTAGTGTACAATAAAACTGGATCTATATTACATAAATTATAACACGGCTAAACTCACGTGATAACATTCGGTATAGGCAAGAACAGTTTCGAACCCGTTGGGGGTCCTTCTTCAGGGTGAGTGATTAATCGGGTATACTCGCTATCGCGTCGCGACGGTCACATATATTATGTAATATAATGTCTCACGAAAGTTTTAATAAGTTAATTGGATCTATATCACCTTAAAAATCTTTTATTTTTGACCCTCTTTAAGTGAATATTTATTTAAAAAACTGTCTATTTTTATGGTTAGGCCCTTTTTGACTTGATAAATGAAAACTTCATAATTATAACAGAGATGTTGAATCATGAACATTACATAAAAAGACCCTTCTATAAAAAAGAATTAGACAATTTTAGAAAGTAACTTACCTAACATTGTAAGATCTTTTGAGGTTAACGCAACACGGGCGTAAACAGCATTTAGGCTTGCGACTATACTTGCAGATTCCCACTTGTGTAACATAATTTAAATGTTACTTAAGTATGTACTTAATTACATCTTTAATCGCTTTAGATGATACAGTTAACGGTTATGAATTTATTTCATACTAGCTTACGCCCGCGACTTTGTGAAATTAATAAAAATGTAGCCTATGTTACACAATAATAACGTAGCTTTTTAACGGTGGAAGAATGTTTAAAATCGACCCAGTAGTTTTTGTGTTATTTCAATACATACAAAAATACAAATCTTTACTTTTTATAATATTAGTATAGATTTACTCATGTCGGTCGTCACAGAGGCTTCCTAACCATTTTTATTTTTATACACCGTTTTCAAAATTCTACTGGAAAACTAGTCGACCAACAAAAGTTGAACCTTATGTTATACATGCCTTCCTTATGAACCCTTCTTTTTACCGCCTTGTCCTTCAATAAACTGTCGCGTCGTTTGTTATTAGAAATGGGTGTAATTTGCTTTATATTATTCTTAGCTGTTCTCATTATTAACTGTTTTTCACGTATTACGCTATATGCCAGTTCTGAAATATCCCGTTATAAAAACTAAGAAGTCTGATGAACTTGGCAAAAACGCCCACCCGTGAGAAGCGCCATCTATTGTTCTTGTAAAATCCGTTAGTTAACAGAACAACGAAGGTGTTAATTTCCTGCAGTTTTTAGCAACTTTAATGTGAATCTAACCGTTATTTAGGCTTTTTTTATTTTTAAATTAGCAGCAAACGTTTTACTAGTAGCTGCCCATGACTCGTTATTAACAGTGGTAGTGCCCGCTTTAACATCTTAGCACTACAGGGCCGGCACGCCCGGTTTAATACCACAACCACACAGAAGACAGGCGTCAAATGGAAGCAATTCCGTGTTTCGTCTGATGAGTGCGGTGCCGAAGGCCTAATCATAGTCCCTTTCTCTTTACCACCCTTTTCTTATAAGCAGAGGATGGGAAGAGGAAATGGATTTGACGGTGGAGGAGATGCATAGGAAGGGGAAATATCCTCTTTATGTGCGTCTCCTCCTTCGTCGGAGGCAACGCATCTGCGATTGCGGATGCCTATGGGCAGCGGTCGCTTCAGCCTTTTGGCGGATTCAGGTAGCCGCGTGCTCGTTTGCCACCTTATGTTATAAAAAAAACTCCATTCGAGTGGTATTCTATACTGGAATCTGTAATCCAAATTTAATCTAGATACGTTTAGATGTTTTTGTTACGTAGTAACTAACATTCGTTCAAATTTACGCATTGATAATAATAAAAGAAATTGTGATAACAATTTAAATTGTTTTAAATTATTTTAAATTAATCTCTAACTAAGGTTAACTTTACTTTCCCTCGCTTTTCTAAGGCTTGTGGCTTTCCATGGTTTTGAAAGTCACCGTTTATAACTTCCAACGCTTCACAGACTATGTAATTATTGTCTATACTATGTTATCCATATTGTATTTAAATTATCCACATTTCATTTACTGGCCGTTTTCACTAACCACTATTAAACAGAAATCTAGTCATTTGCGTCTTTTGCGACTTCGACCGTACTTAATCTTAGTATACTGATTTGTAAAGATAAAAGGTTTGTATTTTTATGAAATAACTCAAAAAGTACTGGGCCGATTTCAAAAATTATTTCACCATTAAAAAGCTACGTTATCAGAAAGTGATATGAGAGGCATTTTTTGTTATCTTTTAACTTCACGCAGACGATATCGCGAGCAACCGCTAGTTAAAAATTTAGGAAATCTCGAATTCGCAAATTTATAACAAATCAATCCTTACTTGTAAATGTTACCAAAGTGTACATGTAATTTTGTAACAGTGCAAAATATGATAAAACAAACTAAAAACTATTCAACCTAAACGTGTGGTCACTATTTCTGTAGATTGCTCACCACCGTGCAGTTTCCCTTCAATTAGCAACGAAATTGAAAACTGTAACAGCTTTCGTTTGTCGAAGCGGAGTTCACGGCTCGCTGGTTAACAAACTTTCAATGATATGCGTTTTCATTGTATAATCTGTACAAAAACATTCTCTATTTCTCTAAGAACATATTAGCTAGTCTTTTATTCTCGAGCATAAAATATTCTTTCCCACTCTTTATTATAACAAGCGAAGAAGAGAATTCGTACACGATAAGGCACTCAAGTCGGGTAAGAGTAATAGACTGCTATTCAACAACAGATGTCGCTATTTTAAGCACTGTTAAATTATTTGTGTTCACAGCGGCTTGCTTGGTTGGCGGCGTGGCGGTATACCCGGCGGGCTGGGGGGAGCTGGCTGTGCAGGAGACGTGCGGGCCAACAGCAGACCAGTACAACATCGGACGATGCCACGTGCGCTGGGCGTACATGCTTGCGGTGATCGGCGCATTGGACGGCATTGTGCTGGCCGCACTCGCCTTCATCCTTGCTACTAGACATCTTAAACTGCAGCCTGACACCGCCTATCCACCGCCATCACTCTACAAAGGTAATTAACATCTAAGGGTTTCCACTATAGGGCTCCGAGCCCTCAAATAAGGGGTGACTAGGCCATAATCAACCACGCTGCACTGCGGCTTGATTGACTTCACACATATCTTTGAATTTCTTTGCTGATATGTGCAGATGTCACGATGTTTTCCTTCACCTTAAGAACGTCAGGAAATTAAATACATATGTAATTCGACAATTGAAAATCACATTGGTACAGCGGGATTCGAATCCAAGACCTGTAGATTACAAGTCAAGAGCTAAAACCCCTGAGCCACCGACGCTCTTAATTAGTATATTGCGAAAGCAAAATGTGAATAAAAGGTGCATTTCTCGCGGAATTTCCTGTCCCACACATCCGTGCTGTATAACAGTCTGGCGTTGACGGTATTGGCAAACCTTACTTAGAGTTCTTTAAAAGTATGCTGTCCTTCTCAAAGGGCAATGAATCTATAGTTCCTCTGATATTACGGGGTTTGCTAGAGTGAACAAAGTTCTTGTTTTTAGTTTTTTGTATAAAGTTTAAGTTCGCTACGCTTCCTCTTTTTGCGGCAATGTGTAACATTCCATAGTAAAGCTAAACATTACAATCTGATATTACCCTCACTACCAAACTTGAAGTCCCTTTAACAGCAATCAGGTCGTGACGAGCTGGCCGCACCGCTTGTGTTACATTGCGCGTCCAGTTTCACGGACTCGAGGTCACTTTGCTTATAAACATGCCGTGTACATCTTAATGTTAATATGAGATAGTATCGTATTCTGTGTAATCGTACTTTAGTTCTGTCAGATTCTAATGGAATTTTCTTTACTTCTTTGTTGATACAATCAGATTTGTTTCTCATGATTGATTGCAGTGTTTGTCCGAAAAATTAACTTTATAAAAGCAATAAAACAAACTAAAACCCAATACAACCACTCGTTTATTAATTTACATTTGTTATAAGCGTGCGTTTATGGCAAAGTAATTGTAAATCAAATCATTCTATAACATATGTTCAGTTTGGTGACGCGACGCAAACGAGGCTACGACTTGACCTCTTTGTACTGATGAATATTTACGCAGTCGCTCGCTGGCACAAAATTCACAAACAACAAATTCTACTCACATACAATTATTATGTTTGTTGCTCCTATTTTGTGCAAACCAATCATGAAATTGTATAAGAAATAATAAATAACGGTTTAAAATATTAAAAAAAAAGAAACGCAGGGATTAACGTATGTTAGTAATTGATTTTAACGCCATCTGTCCGCAGGCGAAGTG